TTATTATTAATATTATAGACAACGACGTGTGTTCGCTGAATGGACTCTGGAGCAGTTGGCAACTGACCCCAATTTTCATCAAAAAATTATCTTCAGCCATGAGGCCCATTTCTAGATGAATGGGTACGTCAACAAACAAAATTGTCGAATTTGGGACGATACCAATCCACATGAGATCCAAGAGCGTCCAATGCATCCCGAAGTAGTCACTGTTTGGTGTGGATTTTGAGCTGGCGGCATCATCGGTTCATATTTCTTTGAGAACGACGTTGGTCAGGCCATCACTGTCACGGCGAGCACTATAGGTCGATGTATACCAACTTCTTTTGGCCTGAATCTGGATGGTTTTTCGGATGAGGGCCTGACTGGCGCGAACAAGAATGTGTTGTTTGGCTGAGAAGGATTTGTCATGATGTTTGAGTCGGAATGATTTCGGGATGACTTCGTGATCTCTGAAGGATTTGAGGAAAGATTCTTGTTCGAGGTTCTCCTTCGAAATTATTTCGTTTTAAAATTATGAATTTCATGCATTACTTTCGCAATATTCTGTGTAGAAAGGGTGGTTAGTAGAAGTAAACGAAGGAATAAGCGACATTACTGTCGCTGCACTTTAACCTTCTTGGGGTTCCCTCCGCGAAGGTGCACAAGTGAGGGTGCTTTCCTGCAAGAGCAGCCGGTTCCTTGCCTTTATTCAAGGCGGAGCTCTAAGCGCCCGCCGCAGAAAGTGCCCTTGCTGTTGGAGGTGGAGTGGGGGAGGAGGAGAGTGCACTTATAGTTGCTGCCACTCCTGCCTCTTTTGCTCTCTTTCTCCTTTCAGCCTCGACGCCGCAAATGTGCTTACGCCTTGGCCCTTGTATTACATCACGAGGTGATCTGCTATGTCCACCCACATTCCAAGCGGTAGATTGAGGTGGACATTTCTGTTCATCCCCAGCCACCGCCTTAGATTGAGGTGAGCACTTGTGTCTAGCCTCGGGATTGGTTTTTGTTTTTGTTGTTTCTGGTTTTTTTGTTTCTGTTTTTGTGTTTGTTTCATTCATGTGTGTTCCCACGAGTCCGTGAGGCCACATTGGCTTCCCGGTCAGGGTCTCCAGTCCCCTGGCCGTTCCCCTATCCGCCACATGGGGACGCGCCCGATAGGTAGCCTAACCCACGGATATTTACAGTAGGTATTCGAGTTTCCATATTCCGTTTACTTTTTAGTCATACAGATTTTGTTTAAAACATGTTCGCTTATTCTGAAGCATTTTTAGAGTCATTAGACGACATTCGAAAATTCTTTGACGAAAATGAAGGAGCGACCAATCTGGTCACAGTGGAGAAGATTCTACCTTTCCAGTCCCATGGAAAATGTTAATTAAATTCAGCAGTATAATGAATGTCATTTGATGTTGCAACAAGACAATGCTCCTCTTCAATATACCTTAATTATTCGATTAGTTGCTCCTTGATTTGTTTGATCTATTTTTGTGCGAACACCTAAAAACTAAAATCTATAGAATTCAACCAATCACTAAGCCTAAGGATCAAGTGGGGAATGTGAAAAAATTCCAGCGTGCTCCAAACAGAACTGGCTGGTATCTCAATGGCCACAAAAGAAATAGCCTCGGTAGATAATAACGTTATCCTGAGGTGGGTTAAAGGGCACGACAGAAGTAAAGGTAATCGCATGGCCGACTCTTTAGCCAAGGAAGCGGCAGGACTAAGAATTTTAGGACCCAGTGGCACCTACGCCTCATGACTTCGACAATTGCGGAACTAGATAAATGTTACACCCATGCTCAATCCCTAAAGAATAGGGAAGGAATCGAAGGATGCAATCTTGCTAGGATCACCTTGGGCGACCCTGGGAAGCTGGCGCCGAAGAAATATCTGGCGATGACCAGGAAAAACCTACACCTAACACTAGGATTTCTGATTGGCCACTGTCAACTAAGGAAACACCTCCATAATATGAGACTAGGGGACACACCTCTATGCAGGATGTGTAAACAGGAAGATGAGACTGTCAGGCATGTCCTATGCGAGTGCAAGGAGTTATCGTCAATAAGAGAGTGTGTGTTCGGCGAGTCTTGGCATACACCTGCCGATATACAGGAGATGTCTTCCAGTGTCCTGTCCACCCTCCTGGAAAGGACAGGATGGACGATGACCTACGAGGACAACTCCTCAGGAGGATGTACAATGGGTCACATGAGGCCTAAGCGCTACGGACTCACACTCACCCTCCCTACTCTACAGATACAGATACTTCGGAATGTGTGAATGTTTCGAACAAAATTCCGAACAAAAGTACGAGAAAGTAGTTGCTTCGAGAGGGCTTTTTCGTACAGTTTGCATCTGATCATATGCATGATCTACCCATCTTTGTTAAGTTTCCTATTTTCTTTAACCGTTTCAATCTATATATCCCACATATTTTTTCATTTTCCAATCTAGACAAGATTCATGTCCTGTAGCTATTAAGTGGGGGCGTTATATTGACATATATAAGTTATGTCAAAAATTACGTTTGCACTCTCTGGACAGTTGAAAAAATATTTTTTTTATGTAATTTTTAATAATATTCTGATAATTTCCAATACAGAGTGCTCACAAATTGAGATTCCACATGAAATTCATTAATCCACCCAATTCTTTAGGCTGAATTTCTTGTTAAAACGCACTCCAGATTTTGATAAAATTGCAAATTTTGCTATGCGATATTATAACATTTAGGGCCAATTGTATAGGTCTCGTTTATAGTTTAGTTTAAACTTGGGTTTAAGCTTATATTTGAACTTAGGTTTGAACCGATAAAATGCTAAAATATCTTTTGTATATCTTTCAGTTAAAGACTCGTAGACACGACAACATTGACAAGTGAATCGAAATTGACCTGCCGTCGTACATTGACGTAAATTTGCTTCACAAGTTCATAATCTGACTCTGTAATAAAATTTAAATTGAAAATATAATAAAAAGAAATTCTGTAATTTATCAGTTTTTCATTATCAATTTTGTATATCGCAAATTTTTTCAGCACATCTTCAGGTTTATTATTGAAGGGTTTTTGAATTACATTCGCATGGTATGAATATCAGTTTGAGAAACTGATGATTTGTCAAAATATCGGCAATACAAGCCAAAACAAAGTATGCTTTACATTACCAGAGTTGAAATAAAAATGATCATACCAGAAAGCGTTTTTTTTATTATATTAGTAAATAGAGAGCTGCGATCACATTTATTTTAACAAATTCACAAAATAATTATCTATCAAATTTTGTCTGGTGAAATGTCCATTTTCTTGAATTTGTTCTTCATTAATGTCTTCCACATCTGCTTCTTGTTCAATGGGATTGTCGTCTTGTGAGTCATCATTCTGGCTAAAAGCAATATTATGTAATACCCCCGTAGCTACTACAATGGCTAAAGTGGTGTTCAATAACACCCTCATTTATAGTCTCAAAACTTGAAATCTTCTTTTCCACACTCCATATTGTTGCTCTACAACATTACGGGTTCTTATTTGGGATTCGTTATAAAGATTTTCAGCAGCAGTGTTTGGATTTGCTACTGGAATCATTATATGGTTGTCCAGGGTATAGCCTGAATTATCTACAATGAAACTATTTCCATACATCCCACCGTTGAGCTGAACCTTCAATCAGCTATTACTGTAAATGAGTCTATCAGATCCTGGCCAGCGAGCAACTATATTCCTTATGTATAATCACTTGAAATCACTTGAAAAAGCTAAATTTTAGCGAAACATGTGATATATTTTTCAAATAAAGTTTGTGGAGATCAAATAGTCAGGTGTAGTTTTTGAAAATCCTTATGTATAAGTTTGCATCAGACACAGTCTGAACATTAATTGAAAATTAGCCTTTCCTGTTACAAAAGTTTTCAGCATTTTCTCCACCTGAAAAAATATTTCATTCAATTGACCAGTTTCTGTTTTTATAGACTATGGAGTTGTATTCACGAACACACATCTTAGGAATCATTTATATTATATATTCTCACCTGGAGATTGAATCCTAATATGGGTGCAGTCCACAGCACCAATAACATTAGGAAAATTGGTTATATTCTAGAAGTCTCTTTGGGTTTCCTTTAGTTTCTCAATCTTCATAGGCATCCTAATATACATAGGTGACAATGTCGCTATTTCCCATGATACATCACGAACAACACGTGATGCTGTGATAGTGTCAATTCCTCCAAAGTCTGCCGCTACATTCAGCATGATGCCTGTAGCATAAAACCTTAATGCTACCAGAATTTGTGTCAATAGAGTAGGAGTATGATTCCTAAAATGAAATAATGCAATGGGCTCACTTAAAGATAATGTATCATTATTAGTCATTGTTGTAATTCAAAATATTGTAATCAAATATTGACAAGTGAAGTATTGTTGGAATTAGAATGTCATTCTCCATCGAAATAAGTAAAAATATATAGGATGTCTCATTTAAAAATCGAAAGTAGGGGTCATTTCCGGTCAAACCGGCAGTACGGCGAAGCAAGGAAATATACCAAAAAATGTAAATGGAACTATAATACACAACCCCTAAATTTTGTTTTTCTATCTCCAATGATAAAAAAGTTATAGGGGTGAGCCACCGTAGAGAATCATCCGGTATGATTATTGAAATATCATAGAATAAAATGTTACTCAATTTTACAATATTTTCTAAATTCATTTTCTTTTAGTATTACTCACATAAATGTTTTTGAAAGGAATAATACGGAATAATTGATTTTAATGATTATTTCTGAATACGTTCATTTCAAAGATATACTCCAGAAGAAAAAAAAAGTATATTGCATTCACGTTTATTGTCATTTCATTAATTTTTCATTCAGTGACTAACTATAAACATGAAAATTGTACAACTGACTGGTATTTCCGGTAAATTATTCAACCATGATGGTAACTGAATAAATATCAAAGGATGGAATAATTATAAAATACCATAACATCCAGTTGAAAAAGTTCCACTTTTAACTCGAGCTCAATCGGGAAAATTCTAAAAGGAGTTCCGCAAAGCTCAACCATTAAACCATGTGTTTCTACTTACAAAATCTGATGAACAACTCAGTATATTCTTGTTGATGTTCTAGAACCCCTTGAAGTTAAACAAAAGGTGTGTTTTATACCTATTGAGAATTTGAATAAAATTATGGAAAATCAATATTGTGGTTATATTTTCTCAATGCTGGACGTGAGTCATTGCCATTCTCGCGTGTTGTAAAACGAAGGACCCTAGATTTAACCTTGGATAAATATTAAGATACTCTTTTTATACTGTGACTGCCGCACGGGATTTTTACGAATATGTTCATTAGTTATTCGGTCTTTTCAAGCACTTATTTGCATATATTTTTCTTATTTTAGATGGATGTTTCATTCCTCAATTCAAAAAGTCTCAGTGAATGTATCATCAATTTTACAAAATCTTTGAAAATTTGGCTAATATATGATGGAATTGGCCGGTACTTGATGAAAATTCATAACGCAATCAAGTTTCACTGGATAGTTTACAAAACAGCAAAATTTGTTCCTCAAGCGTTTTTCTACTCACTAAAGTCCAGCCATTAATTGTTTTATATAATAAAAATTTTAATCATATGCCCTTTTACTTACTTTATAAATAATATTTACCCTAGTTTAGATGAAAACTAATTGTAAATTTCAGGCATCATAAAAAAATCACCAACTTATTAAATGGACAGATATCTTAACAGAATAATTCCACGTGACATTTAGAACGGTACATGCAAGATTATATGAAACTGGGAGTTTTGATAAAAATGCAGGTGTGTGGAAGACCTGAAACTGTAACAACGCCTGAACTAGAAGAAGCTATAACTACTTGATGCGCTGCAGCTGGAAGTCAGCTCAAAAACCATGTGGACAGTTCTAAAAAGAAACCTCCTATACCTATATCACATTCAGCAGGTCCAAGCTTTCTGCCTCGGAATTTTAACCCAAGATAAATGTGTTGCAGGTGGTTCATTCAAACGATGGCACACAATAATAATTTTTTACCAAAAATTTTATTTACGGACGAAGCAAATTTTTCATGAGATTCTATTATAAACTTTCACAATTACAATTTTTGGGCCGACGAAAATACCCACGTTATTGGAGAAAGTCATTTTCAGTAACAATTTTCGCTTAACTTTTGGGTAGAAATGATTGATGACTACCTAATTGGCCCATTTTGTCTACCAACAAGATCAACGGGTGAATACTGCACGAAATTTTTGCGAGATCATTCAACAATTTTGTTAGAAGAAGTGCCGGTACTTGTAGTTATGCACGACGGGGCTCCAGCTCATTTTAGTGTTCTTGCTCGTCAGCATCTTGACATTACCTTCTCTAATCGCTGGATAGGATGTGCAGGACCTCAAAATTGGTCTGCTCGCAATTCTGATACGTATCCTCTAGATTTCTATTTATGGGGTCATCTGAAGGATCTTGTTTATAAAACTCCTGTACTAGATGTTGTATTTTTGAACGTGTCAATGACAAATCGATTGCATTCACTTTCAAGTCGAAATTGTTTATTATTTACTTTTGGTTTTTATTTCATGTTGTCCACGGATAGTTTTTAGAAGTGATTTTTTTTCTCGAAAACGAAGCTTGTTATGAAGTTAACACAAGCAACGAAAAAGTTATATTTTCAGTAGCCTAATCTAAAAAAAATTAAAATTTACAAAAAAGTTGGTGGCGTTCTTTTTTTTCTCAATATTGTTGGCTGTCACTGAGACGCCACTGGACCTACTAATTTTAATCTCGTTCGGGCTAAACAAGCGCCTTATCACTTCAAACAACTGTAGCAAATTTCAGCCAAATCGGCGTAAGGATATTCATGATATTTTATAAATACCGTTTTTTTAAAATTTCAACAATACAAATCTGATTTTCTGTTTAAAATCTGTTTTTCCGTTATCCAGCTTCTATTCATGCTTCAGAAGGTTTCTGATTTCGAAATATATAAAACAAAACAAACATTTGAAAAAAAGCATCAAAATGAAAGTTATTTCTGAGGACTTCTGAAGATTATTGTTTCACAAATTTCTTGACGCATGCTTGCAGTATAAATATATTTTTGCCGAAACGGAATCTTGTATAAATGTTGAAATCTTCTAAGGTTTTTGTTAACGAACTTGAATATCTGTCAACAAATGAGATGCGGAATAAAAGTGTATACTTAGTATAAATTGTGATCATAAAATATCTGTTGACTATGTAGAAATTTAATCTTATACAGCGTGATTCACGGTCGATGGTAGGTTAGAAGTTTCTGGAAAACGCAAAGCATGATTTTTCTGAAAATTTCACCTCTCACACTTCCTTACCTATTCTATCGATCTAAAATATTTTCAGCATTGCGGCGTTGCCACTTCCATTAAAACTTTATTTTTTCAAATGGAATACCCCGTATATTAATACATTTTTGGAATCGCTCTGGTATTTTAATAATTTTTTTGTTAATAATGTCCTATACCTATCTCTATCTGTTTTCGAGATAAAAAATAAATTGTGCTAAATATGGTCCAAAACATAGCCTTAATTGAAATTAAGTACATCAATCAGTACTCTCAATTCATGAAAAGTTGATATTTTGATGATAGTTTGGACAAACTCGAAATAT